CCCCCAACCATAAAATTATTTTCGTTGCTACTTCATAACTGTAATTTTGCTACTGTTATGAATCGTAATGTAAATATCTGATATGCAGGATGTATTTTCATTGTTACAAATTGAACATAAAGCATAGTGATTAATCACAAAAACAATATGTAATTATATATGTATTTTCCAATGGTCTTAGGCGACCTCTGTGAAAGGGTCATTTGACCCCCAAAGGGGTCGCGACCCACAGATTGAGAACTGCTGATCTAGAGACACAGGAAACATGGTCGTGGGACCACTTGAGGGGAGAAGAGCTAGACTGAGAGACAAGTAGATCTTGGCATGAATGGGAGGCACTGTGGCCTTGCTGGAGATCTAGACTAGGAGCCTAGACTCTTGGGTCTGAGTCCCAGCTCAGACTTAATGGGCTTCCTCTGACTGTGGGCCTCCTGAGGGCTTGGTGCACCACACAGAGGCCCCCTTGGCCTTTTGAGGGTCCCTCAAGGTAGGTTTCATTATTCTGATCCAGTGGTGGGAAAATGGATACTCAGTTAAGTCACTTGCCTAAGGCCTCCAGCCAGAATTCAAACTCAGGCTCTGCAGCCAGGCGGCCTTGGACAAGTGTTTGAGAATCCTCCTCTGTCTAGAATGCATACCACCCCATCCTGCCTTCTCCCTGAGGCTCTTTGGGAGCTCAGTCGAAGGGCATGGAGGTGGAGGCAGAAGTCTATTGTGAGCTGCAAATCTCTGTCTACTTAAGAGGATGTTTGCAAAGTGCAGGGTTCATTTTGGGGAAGGGAGGTGTCATGGTGCATGTTGGGGGTGTCAAGAGTTGATTTCTTCTTGCCCAGGTTGAGCAGACCCTGGGGTGGCTTCTCTTAGACACCTTCTTGGTGGTGGTGATGAGTGGTGGCAGTGGGCAGTGATTACACTGTTCCTATGGGGGCTGTGAGGCTTCCTTAAGCAAAACAACAGAAATCTTGGCTTGACAATGTGGAGATTCAGGCAGGAGTGGAAGAGAAAGGGTCCCTTAGTCAACCTCAGAGGTAAGAGGTGAATTATAATAAGATAATAATAACAATAATAATAATCCTTTATTATAAAGAGGTAATATGCAAATTAACGCTCACACCATCACAAGGTGGCTGCGGCCACAGCGGAGGTGGGGTTCTCATAATGAGCCATCAGCAGGGACGTGAGGCTGCATGGTGCCGGGCCAGGGCAGGGAACCTCAGGCTGCACCCCCTGCCTGGCAGGGCTTGACAGGGACCTCAGGCCATGCCCCCCACCCTGGCGCCAGGCTGGGGGACCTCAGGCCGTGCACTCTGCCCATCGGGGCTTGATGGGGGACCTCAGGACATGCCCCCCTGCTCAGTGGGACTTGATGGGGGATCTCAAGGTGCACCCCCAACTCTGGCGGGGGCACCTCAGGTTGCGCCTCCCACCCCAGCGCCAGGCCGGGGGACCTCAAGCCATGCCCATGCCCAGCAGGGTTTGACGGGGGACTTGAAGGCGCACCCCCCACCCGGCAGGGCTTGACAGGGGTGGGGCCGGCCAGGTCTGGATCTCACCCAATGGGGGTGGGGGCAGCTGGGTCTGGGTCCCGTGTGATTTTGAGGTGTGCGTGGGTGGGTGAGGACTTGACTCTGAGTCCCACGGCGCGCCCCAGACTCTGACAGGAGGAAGATTTTCATATACATTTTACTAATTTTATTTTATCTCTGACACTTCTATTATAAAGGGAAAATAGCAATATTAAAATATTTCCTCTAATTCCCTTTTAATGTGCACGAATTCTGTGCACCAGGCCACTAGTAATAATAATAATAATGGCCATTGCCCATATTGTACTCATCATGTATATGTGGATGCTGTTCTAAGCTTCCATTCATTAAGTGCTTACTAAGCACCAGTCACCTCCCAAGGGCACTACATGAATTAATTTACCTAACCCCTAGGAGTTACCAGTTATTTTAATCTCTGTTTTATAGGTGGGGAAACTGATGCTCTGAGAGGTTTAAAAAATGAACTTTCCTGGGAGGTTGGGGGTAAATGGGGGGGATGAGGACACATTTATAATACCTTAACTAATAATAAAAAAAAATGAACTTTCCAGGTTGGGGTGGGTTGGTAAGTAGCAGTGTTTTCAGAGTCAGGCAATTTGACTCCAAAACTTCCATGAATTGCCTTCTTTCTCTTTGTCAGTGTAGTTTCCTGCATTTGACCACATTTAGTGATATTGCCCAAAGTTTGAAGCTGAGCCTGTCTATTGATGAGGCTCAGCTTCAAGCTTTGCCCTGTGAGAAAACAGAGATTGGATAACTTGACCAAAGTTATATAACGCATTCCTGGAATTGCTGGGGTCAGTCCTGGGTTGTTAGCACTAAGTCTAACTGCCTGGAAAAAGAGGCGGATGGCTACAAAATAGACTCCCAACAAGTAGCATAGACTGAAAGTGGGAGGCAGGCAGCAGGCAAGATTTGGGGCAGGGACATCTTTCCTCCCCATCCTTGAGAAAATGGTAGATTTCTTGGGGCTCTCAGGCCATGTGTTGGGAGAGATGCAGCCCTTCTCTCTCCCTGGTCTCCCCGCCTCCCCGCCTTGGCCCAGGAAAAGGGCGGTAGCTTGGCCTTTCAGTTATGCTTCCTCCAGTCATGGCTGGCTGGGCCCTGATGCAAACCTGTTGTTTGGGTTCCTGTAACCACTGCCTAACGCATTATAAATAGGCAACTCCAGCCAGGGCCCTCTGTTGGATTGGAAAGTCCATTCTCTGTCTTCTGGGTCTGTGCTGAGATCCCACCACCCCCCTCCCATCAGTAGTGAGAGTTGTTGAGTGAAAGGAAAAGAGCACCTGGAAGGTAGTGAGTTGTGTGTATTTTCTCACAATCTTACCCTCCTACCGTCCTTCCTCATTTTAACTCTGCTTTCTTCTGGGTCAGGTGGGGGTTCTCAGAAGGCTCTCTCACATCCCTGGCCTTCAAGGCCAGCTCTTCTCTCACCTCCTCCAAGAAGCTTCCTCTGATTCCTTCCAACATGTATCTGTGTCCCATGTGCGTTGAATGGTGGCACCCAAAAGGATATAAACACATCAAATCCCTAGAGCCTGAGAATGTGACCTTATTTTGGATATGGGCCTTTGCAGTAATTAGGTTAAGAATCTTGAAACGAGAGCTGGATTATCCGGGTGGGCCCTACATCCAATGGCAAGTGTCCTTATAAGAAAAAGGCAGAAACTTTGAGACACAAAGAGGTGATGTGACCACAGAGGCAGAGATTAGAGTGTCTTGGCCAACAAGGCCACATGCCAAGGAATGCCATCAGTTCCCAGAAGCTAGAAGAGACAAGGAAGGATTCTCCTCCAGAGCCTCCAGGGACCAGGGCCCTGCCAGCACCTTGATTTTGGAGTTCTGGCTGAAGAACTGAGAGAATAAGGCTGTATTGTTTTAAGGTGCTCGTTTTGTGGTGGTTTGTTGCAGCAGTAGACTACCTGAACTGCCTGTATTGGAGCCACACAGGTGAGGCTTCAAACTGGCTTTAGCCAGCAGGTGCTAGCCTACCTTCCAGGGTTAGTGTTTTGTTTTGTTTTAAAAACTTGCCCTGCTGGTGTTTCTCAGTGGTTAGAGTGTCAGCCCTCACACCAAACGGTCGCAGGTTAGATTCCTGGTCATGGGCACATACCTGGATTGGAGGCAACCAATCAGTGTCTCTCTCTCACATAGGTGTTTCTTTCTCTCTCTCCCCCTTCCCCCGTCTCTTAAAAAAAATAAAATCAGTGGGGAAAAAATAAAAACTTTATTGGGATATACTTCATACATCATACAATGCACCCATTTAAATCCAATGGTCTTTTTAGTATATTCACACAGTTGTGCAATCCTCTGCACAATCAATTTTAGAACATTTTCATCATCCTCCCCAAAAGAAACCCTGTACCATTAACAGTTGCTCCCCATTTCCCCCCACAACTCCACCCCAATCCTAGCTACTAATCTATCTGCCCCTAAAGATTTGCCTATTCTGCATATTTCATATAAATGGAATCATATGACATGCAGGCCTTTCTGTCTGACTTCTTTCACTTAGCATGATTGTTTTCAGGTTTCATCCATGTTGTAGCATATGTCAATACTTATTTCTTTTTATGGCTGAATAACATTCCACTGTATGGATTTACCACATCCTGTTTACCCATTCCTGCGCTGATGGACATTTAAGTTGCTTCTGTTATTTTGGCTGTTACGAATTATACATAAGTTTTTGTGTGGACATGTCCAAGGTTATCTTAAAGATTAAATGAAGTAGCATCTAAGGTACTTTCTATGGCCTTTAACAAAGGATAATGAAAGATCTTACAGAAAATCTGCCCCAACTGCTTCAATTTACAGATTAGGAAACTGAGGTACAGAGAGGAGCAGAGAATTGCTCAAGGTCACCCACAGCAGTAGAGCATTACAGCTAAATAATAGGTCCCTGAGTCAGTCTGCCCAGACTAAATCCTGGTTCCACTTGGATTTGGGTTACCTTATGTAACTCACTTCATCTCTCAGAGACTTAGTTTACTGGAAGAGGCAAGGAAGGATTCTCCCCTAGAGCCATAGTATAAAATAAGGATCATGATAATACCCACCTCATATAGTTATTGATGTGAGGAGTAAGTGTACTAGCCTATGGGTCTGGCACATAGGTGCTCTCTGTCCTAGCTGTCATCATTTATGGCAGTGCAGGATGTGGAACTCGGGTCTCCTGGCTTACCATGTGTAAGATGTCTTGACTCTGCACTTCTCCAGTTTCCTCTCCTGTGTTATGAGCATCTTCCTAGTGTAAGTTTTTTGCAGGAAGGAACTATGGCGTCCTCTTCCCATGTCCTGAGCATATAAGAGGAGCTGACTGAGCTCTTTTGCGCACTTTCGTTGGCTACCCTAACCCCAGCCTTTACCAAGTAACCCAGCTGGTAACTGTGTTAATTCTCTGCATCTTTTCAACCTCTGATAAGATGACCACGTGTGTCTCCCTTCCAGGCAGTGGACAGTGTACCACCATGGAGCTGGGGCCTCTAGAAGGTGGGTACCTGGAGCTGCTCAACAGCAATGCCGACCCTTTGCAGCTCTACCACCTCTATGACCAGATGGACCTGGCTGGAGAGGAAGAGATCGATCTCTGCTTAGGTGCGCTCTCCTCCTTCTCGTCCCTCCCAAGCCCCTCCCCACCCTCAGCCTGCAGTGAAGACTGGCAGCAACCAGTGTAAGCGCGGGCCACGGAGCTCCGGTCAGCACCGCGGACAGCTCCTGTCCCTGGCAGGAGGCTGGCTCTCTCACTGGGAACGTCTCCCAGCCCAGCCCCGCTGCTCTCTTCCGCCTTCCTGGCCAGCCCTCTTCCCAGATCTCTCCTGTCTCATTCAAGGGGCTTTTCCCCACAGAACCTGACACAGACACCATCAACTGCGAGCAGTTCAGCAGGCTGTTGTGCGACATAGAAAGTGATGAAGAGACCAAGGAAGCTTATGCCAATATCGGTGAGAAAGTACTCCGAGCCCAGAAAAAGGACAGTTAAGGGGAAAGGTGTTTTTCCTCTTTTGTTAATCTCCCCCATTCGCCATGAGCCACAGCCCCTCTCTCACAAATCAGGGCAAGGGGGATGTGGGGCAAGGGCTAAAAGAACAGACTCCAGGGCGGACTCCAAGAAGATGGAGAAAAGTGAGGGAAAGGGACCCCTCCACTAATGACCCACAGGCAAACAAAACCTCACTTTGACATCCTTTGCCTCCATTTCTCTACCTTTTTCTATTTCTTGTTCTTTCCTCCCTTTGAACAAAGCCCATGCTATACATCCTTCCCTCCCCTTCTCCCCAGCTCGTAAGCCAAACTACTCTAATGACCAGATGTGTTGCATCCTTTACAACAGAGGAAGTGGGCATTATTGGCATCTCCATTTTACAGATAATGAAATGAAGTTCAGAGGTGAAGCAGTCTACCCAAACCTGCATTAGAGATAGCCATGGGCAGGCCTGAAATTCTAAGCGACGTCTTTCTCATTTCAGGGTCTTACACTTAACCACAAAAAGGGAAGTGTCTGGGGTGGGAAGGTTTGCTAAGGCATAAGCTGAGAGGCTGGATTGCAGCTTTACAAAGAGCGAGGCTTTTGGAAGGGTGGAAATCTTGGGAGAAAGGTGTTTGCATTGTTGTTGTTTGGGGCTGGGTGGGGTAAGGATCCCTCCTCACCGGAGCCACCACTATCCCACACGGAGACGTTGTTGAGGTGGAAAAAGGCAGCCCTTGTTCTGGAAGACACAGCCTCCACCGGAAAGTAACCACTTGGCTATTAAAGTGCAGGCTGAGCCCTGGCCGCGTGCTCAGCTGGTTGTAGCTCAGCTGGTTGTAGGTTGTCTTGTACACCAAAAGATGGCGGGGGGGGGGGGGGGGGGGTTCGATTCCTGGTCAGGGCACTTACCCAGGTTGCAGGTTGGATCCCTGGTTTGGGGTGTGCGAAGGAGGCAATCAATCAATAGTTCTCACATCGCCGAAACCGGTTTGGCTCAGTGGATAGAGCATCGGCCTGCGGACTGAAAGGTCCCAGGTTCGATTCCAGTCAAGGGCATGTACCTGGGTTGCGGGCATATCCCCAGTAGGAGGTGTGCAGGAGGCAGCTGATTGATGTTTCTCTCTCATCGATGTTTCTAACTCTCTATCTCTCTCCCTTCCTCTCTGTAAAAAATCAATAAAATATATTTAAAAAAAAAATAGTTCTCACATCGATGTTTCTCTCTCTCCTCTCCCTAAAATCAATTTTATTTTATTTATTTATTTTTTAAATATATTTTATTGACTTTTTTACAGAGTGGAAGGAAGAGGGATAGAGAATTAGAAACATCAAAGAGAGAGAAACCTCAATCAGCTGCCTCCTGCACACCCCATTACTGGGGATGTGCCCACAACCAAGGTATATGCCCTTGACCGGAATCGAACCTGGGACCCTTCAGTCCGCAGGCCGATGCTCTATCCACTGAGCCAAACCAGTTAGGGCTAAAATCAATTTTAAAATATTTAAAGTGCCGGCTGAATTTCCTGCCCCCCATTTGCCCTCTTAGCTGGGCACCTTGTACCCTGAACAACCTGCACAGCTGTTCTTAGTTGCCCTTTTCCTGGCAACCCCAGGAGCACGTCACTCAGGAGGCCTGTGGTCAGCGCAAATGTGGCTGGTCTTTCCCAGGGCACAGTCCAGTGTCGGGCCAGGGCAGAGGATAGAGAGGTGTCTCAAATTACAGAACCGAGAGCCTGCCTGCTTCCTTTCTTCCTGGGAATTTACTTGCAGGAAGCAGAAGTGTTTGGGGCTGAGGGCACTCACACTTCCTCACAGCGGGAGGCTGTAGTAAAGGATTTGGGGGTTTCTCCCTTAGGGGCATCTACACAGGAAGTGGAACTGCCTGAGCTCCTCAAGTCTGTGGGTTTGCTCCTGGGCACGCAATCATTTGAGACATCCTGAAATATTACATTGGCTTTTATACATGTAAGAAATGGGAATAATAATCACACTTTCTTCAGGGAACGGCCGGAGAGGATTGAATACATGTATATGTGTAAAGCAGTTAGAAAAGGAATTTGCAAAGAGTACGCATTCAATAGTATTAGGTACCATCCCACCCCTATAGTCATCATCATCCTTATCATCATCATCATCATCATCATCATCATTATTTTTGCCCTTACTCCATTCCTCAGCTCAGAAGCCTTTAATGACTCCCTATTATCTATAAAATTAAGTCCTAACTTTCTCCAACATGAAACTTCTCCTGCAGATACCTGTCTCTCAAAGTTTCCCATACATACCCCAAATATCCAGAAAGCCCCCACTCTCGACCTCTCAGGCTCTGCCCCATCTTTCAAGGCCTGGCTCCAGGATCCCTTCCTCTGGGAAGCCCTCCCTGACTGCCCCACCCCACTTTCTCCCCTGACCTCCTGCCATGATCATTGTCTTCCTATTGGTTCCAAACCACATTCTCCTTCATATAATTAGCCACTTCATTTATTGAGTGCCTACTGTGTACTGACTACTGTGTTGAATGCTTTAAATGCAGAGCTTCTAATTCTCACCATCGGTCCGTGGGTTGTAGGCTTTATTTATTCTCATGACACAGATGATGAAATGGGGGCCCAGCGAGGTTAAGTAACTGGCCCAAGGTGGCATAGTGGGGGAGAGAGCTGGAATTGAAACTCAAGCCCCCCTGACAACTCATCCACACTGCGCTGCACTCCTTTAGAGCAATAGATAAGTTTCTGTGGATACATAACCCAGCCCTTCAGTTAGATTAAGAGCCCATGAAGGCTCAGTGTTCCTTCATTAATTTGATCATCCATTCAGCAAACATGACTGAGAACTCACTGACTGCACTTTTCCTTGTCTGGGCAGCGGAACTGGACCAGTATGTGTTCCAGGACTCCCAGTTCGAGGGCCTGAGCAAAGACATTTTCAGTAAGTTGGGGGCTCTTGGCTCAGTCCACATTTCCTTCCTTGTTCCTTGGGGAGCACTGTAATGCCAGAAGGCCATTCTTTAATGGGTGGTCAGATCCCTTCCCAACAGAGGGACAGCACGGGTTCAGCTGGGGTGTCCATTGACTGTGCATGTTGGTGTCTGGTTTTCTCCCATAGTCGAGCACATAGGATTAGAAGAAATGATCAGCGAGAGTGGGGAGATGCTGGAGGAAGCAGCACAAAAGAGTCAGAAAAGACGTGAGTGAGCCCCTCCCTGGTCCTGCCCAGTCTTGCTTGCCTCCTGGCCCTGCCTTCACTTCACAGCCTGTTGAGGCTCTCAGCTGCTTCCCTCATTAAGTCCTGTCTAATCCTCCTGGGTGTGGGTGTCCAGCCTGCCTCTCCCCTCACCACTGCCCCCTGGTGACCCAGGGAGGAAGCAGACGGCCCAGGCGCAAATGGCTACTCTGCTGGTGGGTCTCTGTCACTGGCTGTGTTGACTGCCACGTCCAAAGGATCTTTAGGCTCTGGCTTCCCTTTCGACCTTAGTTGATACCCCTGTATTTGGGGGAGGTCTCTTCAAGCACAGGTTTTGGAATCAGCAAGAACTGGGTTTTAATCCTGGATCTGCTACGTATGCTCCCTGAGCCCGTGGCAAGTACCTGCACCTTTTTGAGCTTCCTACTCAGCCTCCCTGCCTCCTCAATCTGGCAGCCAACATGAGCTTTGAAAATACAAATCAGATTGTTCAGCTTCCCTGTTAACCTTCCAATGGCTACAAAATACATGCCACAAGGCCTGCATGATTGGACCCTTTCCAACTCTCCAAGGTCCCCATAAGCCACCCTGCTCCAGCCACACTGGCTTCTTTCCATTCCTGCAACCCATGGGCCCTTCCTAGCCCCAGGGCCTTTGCACTTGCTGTTCTCTTTATCTGCAATGTCCTTCCCTACTTCTTTCCATGGCCAGCTCCTTCAGATCTTTTAGGTCTTGGCTAACATGTCACCTCCTCCTGTAGGCTTTCCTTGACCACAATTTTCACGTGATTACCTCGTTTACTTTCACCTTGCTGTGTCTCTCCTAGAACCTTAGTACTTGTCATAGTCTGAACTAATTTTATTTATTGCCTTTTGCCTAGTTCCCCCTTTGTGAGGACAGGGCCCTTGTCTTTCTTACTTGTCACTACATCCCCAGCATCTACCACAGTGCCTGGCATGCAGCAGTACCTCAATAAGTATCCGTTGAATGAAAATATCTGTAAAATGGGCATAACAGTTAATGAAGTGCATACTATATGCCAGACCACGTGTAAGCCCTGTACCAATTTCTTTATGTTCAAACAGCTTTTCTCAGTTTCTTTCTCTCGGTTCCCCTCTCTGAAGACAACCTATGTTGTCATTTTCCTTTTTGCCTTGTTAGACATGTTATTTATCTAGAACTGAACTCAATGTTATTGTTGTTGTTTTTTTAACTTTCTACACAAATGGCCACATTTTTACCTATACTATCTGCACCTGGCTTTCTTCGTTTAACAGTCAGGGGGGTGGGGTCACTTGTGTATCACTGATGGAGAATTGTCTTGCCTCCAGGAAACCCTTCCTTTCTTCCTTCCTTCCTTTTTCCCTTTCTCTCTCTCTCTCTCTCTCTCTCTCTCTCTCTCTCTCTCTCTCTCTCTCTCTCTCTCTCTCTTGTTTTCATGTTATGAATATTTTTCCAACATTTTGTTATGAAGATTTGCCACATACAATAAAGGTGGAAGAATTGTACTTCAAACAACCACATAGCTACCACTTTACATTCTACAATGAATGTTTGGCTGTATTTGCCTTAACCCATCTCTATCCATTTGTCCATCCCCCTATCCATCCACCCATTCATTCGTCTTACATTTGGAACATTTTAAGTGAATTGCAGATGCTAGCACACTTCCCCATACGTCCCCCTTTCAGCGTCCTTCCTTGTTCATTTCAGGCCTGCACAGTATTTTGTTGTGGATGAACCATGGTTTGTTTACCCCTTGCTCAGGGACACCTGGGGGTTTTCTCCATTGGTGTGCTAAGTATCTGATCCTCACTCACTGATTTTCAGTGTACTCCTGCGAGGTGAATCACCCTCCCATACGCCCATTTCACAGACGAGAGCTCACAGGCTCAGAGAGGCTGTGTTGCAAAGACACACAGCTGGGAAGGGATCAAAACCAGGCGTCTCATATTTTTTTAAACTCAAACTCGTCTTGTGTGTCCCCTCTATGCTTGTGCCACTTCCAGTACCTCACTGTCCTGTGAGCTTCGAGGTGGGGTTTGGTTTTAAGCAAATGGACAAGGGGAGCAGGAATGGTCAGGGGAAGGGAGTGGGACCCCCAAGGCCACCTCCCAGGCAAAGCTATTTAGCCTGTTGGGGCCCAGGAGCCCCTCCTGGCTGGGAACACCCCTCCCCTGGGCCTGCTGACCCTGGTGTTCTCTCTGCAGCCTTCCCAGAGGAGCTGCCTGCAGACCTGAAGCACAGGAAGCTCGGTGAGCAGGGCGGGTGGGCCCAGGGCGGTGGGGAGGGGGGGTTGGACTGCAAGGCAGGAAAGCCAGGACTCAAGTGCACATAGAAACTGGCATTTGAGAGTCGAGGATCAGAGAGGCAAAGCTACATGTCCAAAATCACACAGCTAGTGAGAGGTGGAGCTGGGATTAAAAACAGGTTTTTGATCCCGAAGCTTGTATAGTTCGAGGGCTGCTGGGAAACTCAGCTTCTACAAAGCCTCCTCCCTAACATCCCTCTTCTTTATGCTGAGTCAGAGCTGAGACCTTGCTCCACTGCTGCTTTCAGAGTGCAGTCGGTCACCCATGCCCTCCCGCCCCCAAGCTTCAGTGAGCCTCTTCCTCCTAGCTCACCATCTTCCCCACCAGATGCTTCCTCCCCCCGCCCCCCCCCCCCCCGCCCTCCCCCGCCCCCTCCCTTCTCCCACCCAGTTGTTATTGCAAAGGTGGAAAGACCAGTCCCTCGGGAACAGACTGAGGAATGAAAGGCTCATGGTCTGATGGAGGAAGCCTAGTCCCTGAATGCAGGGAGGTAGGGGTCCTGCCCATGAAGATCCCAGGATAATGGAGAAGCAGTCCCCGTCTTCAGGGAGCTCCCAATCGAATGGGGGAAGCAAGTCTCTACCCTCTTCGATCTCCCCATTACACCCCTGCCCCTGTCCGATGGGGGTACAACCACTCCTCTTTGGGAAGTGCTTGGGGCTCCTTGGGAGCTCTGGGCCAGCAGCCTGCGTACAGGTCTGTCCTGCCTCAGTGGCTCAGTGGGGCCATCACGAGTCTCCATCTCAGGAAGCTCTAAGGGCCCAGGCACAGGAGAGGGCTGGGGACAGGGGCCTGGCTGCTGGGCACAGAGTAGTTGATCAAACCAGCTTTGCCCAGGGCTGAGAAGCAGACGGGAGTTTCCTCCAACTGCCAGGAGAGCGATCTGCTCTGCTCCCAGAGCGCTCCCACCCCAGGAAGGCCCCTCCAGGCACCCACTTAGATCCCACGCAGCCTCTAACACGGCCTTCCACACAGCCGAGCCCCTGACTGCACCCATGGTGACTGGCACTTTCCTGGTGGGGCCAGTGAGTGACTCCTCGGCTCTGCCCTGCCCATCGCCCCCTGCTCTGTTCAACAAGGAGCCAACATCCACCCAGACCCGGCTGGAGGAAACCATCCTGACGCCTGGTAGGTGAGGGGCTGGGAGAAGGAGGGCTTCCCCCTCCCTGTGCCAGAGGAGTGACGAAGGCAGGGCCCACCAGGGACAGAATCCGGAACCCAGCCAGTGTCACCCACTCCCGTCCCAGCCAGTCCCATCCTGGGTTCCCATCAGCTCAGTCTGTGCCAGAAAACATGTCCCCTCCGCCCCCCCCCCCCACACACACACCCTGGGAGGCACAGCAGGGAATCCCCACCAGTTAGAGAATTCGCCCGCCAGCCAGTGCATCCATCCACTGTGGAGGGAGCACCTCTCTGTGCCAGCCACTCTGCCAGGTGCCAGGGACACTGCCGTGGGCAAGGCAGACACTGCTGCTGCTGTTCGGGAGATTGGAGCCCGTTATGAAGAGAGTCAGATACTAATCAGATAAGCACAAAACAGGATTACAAACACAGGTGCTGCAGAGGTTCGCACCTCACTGCCTTGGTCTCTTGCAGCGCCCCCCTCCAGTTCCTTGCTGAGCTGCCTGGGTCTCCCTGCTGGGTCCATCCACATCATCCCCACCCTCCCTGCTCTGCCCCAGGGGCTCTGGCAAATCTCAGGAGCCGGGACAGAGGTGTCCAGTATACTCATCTACCAAGGTGAGTGAGGGAGGCCTGGCCCCACCCCTGCCCTGCTACCTGACTACTCCCTCCTCCCAGGCATGTGGCAGGTGCAGCCTAGGACCCTTTCATGATCCTCCCTCCTCTCTGTCTCCATTTCCCAAGAATCAAAGTAGAGGAGCAGAGCTCCCAAGGGGGTCTGGGTGAGGGACCCACTGAATGGCTGAGTGGCCTTCAAGTGTCACTCAGCCCACTCCTTCACTCTTTTAGTAAAACCTGGTGAGCAGTTTGGTGTGCATCCTTGCACAGCTTTCTCTGAATTACCTTGTTTCGTGATTAGTAAAATGATCCATTCTGTCGGCCACAATGATGGGCTGTGAATTGCCCAGGAGAAGGCATGTTTGGCTCTCAGAGATGGGAGAGAGAATGAGGCCAGGGGTACACTTCCACTCAATTGAAGAGCATCTTTGAAGGTCGCATTGCCAATTTATGTGTAAGGCACAGGTGCCCCAGAAGCAGGGGGACATTTGGGCCATCTAGGAAAATGAACGCTGACCTAAGCTCTCTCTGAGCTAATTGTGTCCATTTCACAGATGGGGAAACCAAGGTTTCAGGAGCTAGATCAGCCGTGGGCAAACTACAGCCCGCGGGCCGGATCCGGCCCGTTTGAAATGAATAAAACTATTTAAAAAAAAAAACAAAAAAAAACCGTACCCTTTTCTGTAATGATGTTTGCTTTGAATTTATATTAGTTCACACAAACACTCCATCCATGCTTTTGCTCCGGCCCTCCGGTCCAGTTTGAGAACCCATTGTGGCCCTCGAGTCAAAAAGTTTGCCCACCCCTGAGCCAGATGTAACTCCAGAGCTTTTTCTTCAACTCCATCCTGACATGTTGTCCTTTGAAAGTTCTCTTTTCCTCTCCCCAGACTCCCAAGCCCCACAGGCTGACCTGAGGTGGGGTGACTCAGTTGGGTTCCTGGATGGGCATCCGGTTGTTCTTATATTCCCTTCCCACCTAATGTAGGCGAGATGCCCCAAGCACCCCCTTCCAGCAGCCCAGCTATCCCCAGCCTCCCAAAGTCCCCAGACCGGCCTGGCTCCACCAGCCCCTTCGCCCCGGCTGCAGCTGACCTTCCCAGCATGCCAGAGCCAGCCTTGACCTCCCGTGAAAACATAACAGGTAAGGGGCTCAGCGCCTGTGAGAGGCACTGGAAGCAGGATTCAGGCCGGGGGAGAAGAATTGCTGCAGACAATCAGGCCCACACCCAGTTGCCTGCGGGGGACAAGCGGGCTGAGTTTATGTAAACAGGGCCGGGAGGGTGTCCAGGGAGTGGAGGGCCTGGGAGGGTGGCCGAGGGGGACAGCTGGAGAATCCATGTCCCACCTAAACCAGGCCACCAGCCTTTACCAGCTTCTCACCTGGCAGGAAAGCCCAGTGTGGCCAGATCTTCTGAATTGTCAGCAGGATCTGGAAATCTTGATTTTTTTACATATTGTGATTTTTAAAAACATTGATGAAAACAATGTTTTAAAAGTAAAGCTGGCCAAAAGAAGACATCTTTGAGCAGGATACAACCTCAAGTCCCCACCTTGTGACACCCCCTTGCTCCCCAGTCCTTGTGCGCTCTACCCTCTGCATACTTCTGCATACTCAGAGGACTGAATGCTCAGAGGGAAGAAGACCCTAGGGTACTCCTCACCCTAATTCTGACACCGTCTTCTTCGTCTCCAGAGGATGAGATGTCCCCCACCAAATGCCGGGCAGCTCGCAAGGTCTCCAGCAAGCTTCCAAAATATCCTGGTGAGTGGTAGTCGGGTCCCTCTGCCCTGGGTGTTGGAGGCGGGAGCCCAAATCTGGCTTTACTTCACTCATTCACTCAACATTTATTCAACTGCTTATGTTGGCATACTCATTCATTCATTCACTCATTCACTCATTCGATTCTGCCATCATATTAGCATTCATTCTGGCACTCAAACTTAAGTAATACTTATTGAGGACCTACCCCTCAACAAGCCCACACTAGTGCTGCATCTTGTTTGCAAGGTTGAGAGAACGAATGAAAGAACAGTGGGTGACTGAGTGAGGGGATGGAAGTTGATGATGAGTATAGAATAGAAGGTGAGAATGGAAGAGCAAATAATGAATAGCCAAGTTAATTAAGTGCTTACTCTGTTCCAAGTAATCTTCTATATTAAATCATTAACATCACAAACAACCCTCATATTACCCCCATTTTACAGATGAGGAAACTGAGGCGTAGCAGGTATATAACATGCTCAAGATACACTGATAAGTGGTGGAGCTGGGATTTGAATCAGACACCTGGATTTCACAATCTTAACTCTTAACACCCACCAATGTCCTCCCTATTGTGAGTGAGTAAAGAAGGAGGTTAGTGAGCAAATGAAGGAGTGGAAAGGTAAATGAGTGAGAAGATGAGGGAATGAATGAGTATTTGGGTAACAACGAGGCAGCTAATAAAGAAGGTAGTTGGTAAAGATTGTGTGGAGTACGAATGAAGAAGCTAGTGATGGTGGCCGGGCTGGCCTCTTGGCTGCCCTCATGGTGGCCAGTCCTGCCACTAGCATCCTCCCCTCACCCCACACATCCCTTGGCTTTGCAGAGAGTGTGGAGCAGTTTCGCCGTTCACTACGGGACAAGTACCAGGCCAAGCCCGCAGGCCTGGAAGACATCCTGGTGGAGGTGGACCTGATGAGGGCCCGGCTGGAGAGGAGCAGCAGCAAGAGCCTGGAGAGGGAACTGGTCATCCTGGACTGGGCAGAGCAGCAGCCAGCCCGCGGGGGTCTGGCTGGGGTGCTGCTTGCTGCTAGTGACTGCCGGCGGCCGCGTGAGACACAGGTGATTGCTGTGCTGGGCAAGGCAGGACAGGGGAAGAGCCACTGGGCCCGGGCAGTGAGCCGGGCCTGGGCCTGTGGCCAGCTGCCACAGTACGACTTCGTCTTCTACCTGCCCTGCCACTGTGTGGACCGACCAGGGGACACCTACCACCTGCAGGATCTGCTCTTCTCCCTGGGCCCGCAGCCGCTGCCGGGGGACAGTGAGGTCTTTGGTCACATCCTGAGGAGGCCTGACCGCCTCCTGCTCATCCTGGATGCCTTTGAGGAGCTCGAAGCCCAAGACGGCCTCCTGCCCAGTACATGTGGACCCATGTCGGCTGCGGAGCCCAGCTCCCTCCGAGGGCTGCTGGCCGGCCTCCTCCAGCGCAAGCTGCTGCGAGGCTGCACCCTGCTGGTCACGGCCCGGTCCCGGGGCCGCCTGGCTCAGGGCCTGAGCAAGGCGGACACCCTGTTCCAGATGGCCGGCTTCTCGGCCCAGCAGGCTGAGACCTATGTGGAGCGCTACTTTGAACATTTGGGGGCCACTCACCGGCAGGAAAGAGCCGTGGCGCTCCTCCGGGGCCAGCCCCTTCTTCTCAGCCACAGCCACAGCCCCACTGTGTGCCGGGCCGTGTGCCAGCTCTCGGAGGCCCTCCTGGAGCTGGGAGAGGAGGTCGAGCTGCCTTCCACACTGACGGGACTCTATGTTGGCCTCCTAGGCCCAGCGGTCCGTGACAGCCCCCCTGGGGCTCTGGAGACCATGGCCAGGCTGGCCTGGGAGCTGGGCCGTAGGCACCACAGCACCCTGCGGGAGGACCAACTCCCAGAGAAGGTGAGGGCCTGGGCTGTGGCCAAAGGCTTGGTGCAGCCTTGCCCTGGGGCTGCAGAGACCGAGCTGGCCTTCCCCAGCTTCCTCCTGCAGTGCTTCCTGGCGGCCCTGTGGCTGGCCCTGAGCAGTGAGATCAAGGACAAGGAGCTGCCGCAGTACTTGGCACTGACCCCGAGGAAGAAGAGGCCCTATGACAACTGGCTGGAGGGCATGCCGCGCTTTCTGGCCGGGCTGGTCTTCCAGCCTCGTGCCCGCTGCCTGGGAGCCCTGGCCGGGCCGGTGGTGGCCAGTGTGGTGGATAGGAAGCAGAAGGCGCTCACCAAGTACCTGAAGCGGCTGCAGCCAGGGTTGCTGCAGGCCAGGCGGCTGCTGGAGCTGCTGCATTGTACCCACGAGGCGTTGGACGCTGGCCTTTGGCGGCATGTGGTGCAGGGGCTCCCCACCAACCTCTCCTTCCTGGGTACCCGGCTCACACCTCCGGACACCCACATCCTGGGCAGGACCCTGGAGACAGCGGACCGTGACTTTTCCCTGGACCTCCGCAGGACTGGCATTGACCCCTCTGGACTCAGGAGTCTCGTTGGACTCAGCTGTGTCACCCAGTTCAGGTGGGGTCAGGGGGTAGGGAAGCAGCTTCTTTGCATGGAGCACCTGCTGTGGTCTTGCTACCACGCTGAGTTCATGCTGTGGGGTCTCCTGTAGTATGCACAGCAGCCAGGGGTGGGGTGGGGAGGCGGGAAGAAGTGATTCCCTCAGTTATTAAGATGAAGCTGAAGTTCAGAGAGGGCCAACAGTTTGCCAAGACCATCCATACACCCAGTGAGGGACAGCTTCATTCTTTCAACCAATATTTGAAGGTGCCCATAGGCCAGGCACTGGGCCGTGTCTAGAATCTAAGACTGATGAGGTTCATATTTGTTTTCTCTCCACCCCTATCAAGCCATCCATTCTGTCATGATTGGATTAAAACCACAGCCTTCCCTCAACTTCCCTACTTCCATCCATTCTGTCCTCTTCCACTTCACTATATTTAACCATCAGAGCCATCTTCCCAGAACTTAAATCTGGTCATACTTACAACTCTTTAGAAGTATCCCAGTACCTTCAGAATGAAGTTTAAATTCCTTAATTTGGCTCATTTAAATCCTCTGTGATCTGTTTAATCACTTCAGCCTAATCTCTAGAGACCCCCTCCCACCTTACCCATAAATAGACTTTACCCAAGCTGTAAGGTCCTACATCATTGTAGTGGTTCAATCAAGAATTTATCACTGAGCTTCCTAGTAGTCAAAGCAAAAAGGGAAACAAAACCACTCAGAGATTTGAGAAAAAAAAATCAATAAGGGCTGGAGTAGTCATTGAGGCTTTCTGGAGGAGGTAGGGGTTAAGCTGAGAGAGGAAAGTATCTGAATACATAGGAGGTCCCTTCATGAAGCTGCCCCTTCATTATGGTCTAGCCCCGTCACTGTGCATGGGTCTGAGGCCCTCCTTCCACAGGGCCGCCTTGAGTGACACGGTGGGGCTGTGGGAGTCCCTACAACAGCATGGGGAGGCCAAGCTACTCCAGGCGGTGGAAGAGAAGTTCACTATTGAGCCTTTCAAAGCCAATTCCGTGAAGGACGTGGAAGACCTGGGCAACCTTGTGCAGATCCAGAGGTGAGGGGGAAGGGGAGGGAGGTGGTCCAAGCCATGCAAGTGGAAGGCCTATAGGACCTGAGATCAAGTTTGCCACTAGCACTTCCAAGGCATCTTCTCCTTTGGGACATCCTGGGCCCTCGCCCTGGGCCACAGCTACCAGAATCTCTCAATGCAGAGCCCCCAGAACTTTTGCTTGGTCCCGTACAAAACTCGCCATCATGTACCTCATTCTTTCTCAGCTAAAGCCAGGGATGTGCATACTCTTCTTTGCTAAGAGATTTTAATGAGCTGAGCTGCCTTCTGCAGTCAGTAACAGAAGGGACACCTACGGCCACCTTTCAAGGCAGCCAGGACCAGTATCGGACCCATTTTATAAAGAGCAGCACTCTAAAGTCCAGAGAGCAGAGGAAACTTGGCCACGGGACAACTGTCTTTCAGCCATGCCATCATCATGCATTGTCTGAGCACATATTCCGTGCTGCCTGGGATGGGTCTGGGAAGTGCCCACTCTGGGCTTTGCCATGGCACACACAGTAATGCCTTAATAACATCCTGTCTCAAGGTTTTTCTTTTAATAGGAGGCATCAGTAGCCACAAGAAAGGCAATCTTTGGGGGGGAATTTTGGGCATTGGGGCAGGCATCTTGGGACACATAGTTAGGGGCTCAGCAACAGGCAGAGAGCCTGCTCCCGCCTAAACATCGTCCCTTCTCCCCAGGACAAGAAGTTCCTCAGAAGACATAGCCGGGGAACTCCCCGCCATCCGGGACTTAAAGAAGCTGGAGTTTGCGTAAGCAAAGGGGTGGATTGTCTCCGGTCCCCACGAGATTTCTTCTCCAGCATTAGCTGGGCTTGTGCCACCAGAATGGAGATGGGTCCCCAGAATTATTCTTACCCTCTCACCCCACCCCTCTGGAAACTAGCTTCTGACAGCTGGGGCTTGGCCCTTCTGGGCTAGTGAAGATAATTGGCTCATTTCCTGGCAAACATGCTTATTTGAATTCATTCATTCGACAGACCTGCTCAGGTGAACAAGGCCACTGTCCTCAATGAGCTTGCAGCCTAGTGTAAAGAGACCGTTGCCACCTGCTGAAATAAGTGGCAGGAAACTCCAGGATTGTGAGAGTGCAGATGTGGGGGAGGCCAGGGGACTTCCTGGAGGAGGTGATTAAAGCAATAAACCTTGAGAAAGGAGTGGGCATGAGCATGTGGGGAGGCCACACAGGGCAGAGGTATTGTTATTATCTCCTCATTGTACAGATGCAGATACAGGCCTAGAGCTTGTAAATTGCTTGTGCAGAGTCACAAAAGTCAGTGCAGCCTTGCTCTTGCTCCAACAAAGGAAAAAGCTAAATTCGTGTTTGGTCCTTGTAAGGGAATCTAAACTTATCTAACGATTAGGAAGGACTTATTAAACGCCTACGTGTACTCAGTGCATCTTATATATTATTTCACTAATTTCAAGAGCTACTCTGGGAGATAGTCATTACCTTTCCCATTTTACAGATGAGGAAACTGAGACCCAGTGAGGTTGAGTAACTTGCCCAAGGTTCCCTCCCAGCTGGCCACCCACAAGCTGTCTGCTTCTCCTGGTCACTGCTCCCCCTGCGCCCAGAAAAAGAAAAGGGGGGGGGGGTTCTTGTCTCAATCAGAGACAAGTTGCTAAATTTGTGCAGAGATAAAAATATTGCTAAAAAGAGGAAATGTATGAAAACAATCACCAAGGGCTCCTCTAGCTTTGAATTATTTTCAGCTTAAAAAGCCCCTAGTTCAAGATCGGAACTGTGCTTGAGGGGAACAGCAGCCATGGGGTGGAACAGACCAGAACCAGGACACAGGCCACCTGGAAGCCGGAAGGCCTGAGGCAGTTCTGAGGAAAGAAGGAAGGAAGGAAGAAAAAAATATTCTGGGTGCATGACTGGCAGCCACTGTTCCAGGCACACTATAGGCCTCACCTACCCACAGAGGTCAGACGGCTCGGCCGCTGAAAGTCCTGCACAGGCTCTGCCTTGTAGACAGGGTTCTTCTCTGATTCAGCGCTCACTTACCTCCTCGCCTGACCTCCTACCCTCCCTCCCTTGCTCACTCCACTCCAGCCACATGGGTCTCCTTGCTGGTTTTTAACCTTACTAAGCACGGCCCAGTCTCTGGGTCTTGGCATTGGCTGTGCCTTCTGCCCAGGACACTCTTCCCCAGATAGCTATATGGCCGGCGCCCTCACTGTCTTCTATTTCTCACTGAGCGAGGCCTTTTCTGGCCCCCACTTTTTTCTTTATTGATTACTGACCCCATTTTTAAAAGTAAGATTCCACCCCACATCATTGTCCCCCACACCAGAGAGTATACCAATATTTTTTAATAAGATATTTTTTCATTGATTTCAGAGAGGAAGGGAGAGGGAGAGAGAAATAAAAACATTAATGATGAATCATTGATTGGCTGCCTCCTGCATGCCCCCTGCTGGGGACTCCAACCCTGACTCCTGGTCCATAGGTCAACACTCAACCACTGAGTCACTCCTGAGGGGCATAACCAATATCATTGATTACCTGTCTTACCCACTGAATGTCAGCTCCACAAGGGCAGGGATTTTTGCCTGATTTGTTCATGGCTGTCTCCGTGGCGGGCTCTATGGGCCTGGCACCCAGGAGGTCAATAATCAATATTTGATGAATGAATCCCTTAATCCTAAAAACCTCAGAAGGTTAGAGCTAAATTTTAGGAGACTGAGGTGCAGAGGCGAAAGGATTTGCCCAAAAGGCCCCAGGGAAGGGAAGGGGCAGGTCCTCGGCTCAAATCAGATTCTGGACTCCTATCTCGTGGCCTTTCTCGGAGCTAGTGGTTCCCAAACTTTGGGGTTCCAAAGACATAATATTTCAGAGTGAATCTGAGTGGCTATGTGCAGTTACCATCTTAATTTTTATCAAGTATAATTCATTCAAACAAGCAAATAACCCCTGCTGGCACCATCATTTTATCAAAGAACGAACATTTTAATGGCAAAAAAGTCCAAAGAACATAATTTCAGAATAAAGGACTGTTCTATGTTTACCATATCTTAAAAACAAAGCAGCCCTCCATTGTCTTTATTTTTCTCATTCTCTCAAAGTCTAGTCTAAATGACCATCCAGGCTAGGTGGCCTCCCATGAGTTAGTTAACCTCTCTGTGCCTCCAGTTCCCCACCTGTAAAATGGGGACAAGAATTGCTCTTAGCTCAGAGTCATTGTGGAATCCAATGAGATCTAGTCTGAGTGAAGGACACGCTGTGTTCCTGGCACATAATAAGTGCTCAAGAAACTCTTCTATTTGTTATTAAAGTGGAAATAAGCAAACCATCTTTCTTGGGACTGGTAGTGGTCCTCAAGTCAGCATTTGGGAACCAGGCCATGGCAGGAGAAGTGTGCATGTAGATGTAGGCAGGAGTGAGAACCCACCCAGATGAAAGCTGGGGAGCCCCCAGGTGGCCACTTGAGGGGCTTTGAAATCTTAGAGCAGATTTGGGGTCCCACTTGATGGGACTGGGGGGAGGGAAGTCAGGGTAGGGGAGGAGGCCTCAGACGGGCCTGCCTTCTGTGCCCTGTCTGTACCCCACCCTGAGGCTGAATTGAGGGACCATGACTGTTTCAGGGTCTTACCTCTGCTCTTTGCTTCCTAGGCTGGGCCCTGTCGCGGGCCCCCAGGCTTTCCCCAAACTGGTGAGGATCCTGGAGGCCTTCTCCTCCCTCCAGCATCTGGAGTGAGTACAGACCCCAGAGCCACCTGTGACTCAGGCTTTGGAGTCCCCAAACCCTGCCCCTGTTTGTGTGAGTTTGTGTCTCTTTGTCCTGCTGCTTCCTTTATGGGGCTGGTGTGAATGACCAGATGACCCCACTGTAGGGAAGTGACAACAGATGGCAATTCCCCCTCCCCCTCTTTTTTTTTAAGTCGAATCCTTTTATGACCTTTGAAACTCTTCCCCTCACATGTTGCTCCCAGCAGTCCACAGAGAAGCAGGGTCAGAGAGCAGGATCCCACGGCATAATCGAGGCACAAGAGGTTGCCAGGAAGTTGCCCAAACTTGTGAGGGTTCCCAGGAAGCAAAATAGGGATTTGGGTCCGTTGAGAACTACAACCTTGTCGCCTGGCTGGCTGATTGGTGCCCCTGGGTGATGAAGACTCCCTCTCAAAAGCTCAGGAGCAGATAGATATCTGCTCTGGTGTGTCCAGGGGTGGGGGATTTGAGGAAGCCCCAGATGGGTTGGAGGGAGGGGAAAGGTCAGGTGACTTCCCTGGCTGATGGCCCCCCATCTGATTTCACCTGCAGCCTGGACTCGCTGAGCGAGAACAAGATCGGGGATGAGGGTGTCGCGCAGCTCTCAGCCACCTTCCCTCGGTTGAAGGCCCTGGAGACGCTCAAGTAAGTGGGCTGGGCCTGCCCTTCTTGCTCCATTTTCCCTCAAGGCGGGCTGGCTTTTTTATTCTTTCATTCACTTATCCATCCTCCAGTCATTGAGCCATGTAATCATTCATCCATCCATTCCTTCATTCGTCCTTTCACTCATTCATTCCTTTATGTAATCATTCATGCATCCAATAATTTCTTAATTTAATTAACAAATATTTAAGGAGCACCTAATGTGTGCAGACTCCATTCTAGGCCCCAGAGATCCAGCTTTAAACAAAACAAGCAACATCCCTGACCTCAGAAGTCTTCTAGTGAGAAGACACAATAAACAAGCAAACAAACAAATAAAGCCATAATTATAAAGTATACTAGAAGCCCCGTGCATGAAAATTCATGCACTGGCGGGAGGGGGGGCGGGGGTCCCTCAGCCCTGTCTGAGCCCTCTCGAAGTCCAGGACCCCATGGAGGATGTCCACCTGCCAGCTTAGGCCTGCTCCCCGGGGGATCAGGCCTAAGCTGGCAGTCAGACATCCCTCTGGGAGCCCTCAGGGCATGTCCACTTGCCAGCTTAGGCCCGCTTCCTGGCAGAAAGGGCCTAAGCTGGCAGTCGAACATCCTTAGCGCTGCCGAAGAGGTAGGAGAGGCTCCTGCCACCGCCACTGTGTTCACAGCCATCAGCCTAGCTTGTGGCTGAGCGGAGCTCTCCCAGTGGGAGTGCACTGACCATGCAGGGGCAGTTCCTGCATTGAGCATCTGCCCCCTGGTGGTCAGTGCATGTCATAGTGACCAGTCATTCCTGGTCGTTCTGCCATTAGGGTCAATTTGCATATTACCCTTTTATTATATAGGATAGTAATAAAAGTAAACAATGTTTAGTGACAGAAAATTACCCTAGAGGTGAAATAGGAGAAATAGATTAGGATTTATCAGTAAAACATTATCAAAATAGTATATTTTTTATGTTTTTAAACTATTCTGGGCCCTAGTCAAATGGTTCTAGGTTCAATTCCAGTCAAGGGCACGTACCTTGGTTGCAGGCTCCTCCCTGACGGGCCCCTGGTCAGGGCTCTTGCACGAGGCAACCAATTGATGTGTCTCTCACATCGTTGTTTCTCTCTATGTCTTTCCCTTTCTCTTCCACTCTCCCTAAAAATCAATGGAAAAAATAGCCTGGGGTGATTAACAACAAAAGCTATTCTGTGCTTTGGGAAATAGGAGATGGATATGATACAAGAAGATCAATATGATATTTTTCTTTTTACTGAACATAGATGGTATCATCAAAATTTATCCACACCCCACTTCATAACCATGATTAGGATGGCCACAGAATTCACCAGAATTCAGTTAGGCATTTCCTTGATTATAAGATACTGAGACCTCTCAAAGTAATTTATAGTGTTCTAGGTAACACTGTGAGTAAGCCAGATTTCTCTTTTAGTCCTTCCTTCCTTCTTTTCCTTCCTTTCTTTTCTCCTCCCTTTTTCCCGTCCATCCCCCCCTCTTTTCCCTTCCCCTCTCTTTCCTTCATTTCACCGCCCTGCTTAACTTTTTACTGAGCACCTACTATGTGCATGGCGTGCCTCTAAGCACAGCAGGAATACAGTAACGAACAAAAAACAAACCTGGCCCCTTGCCTTGTGGAGCCCACACCCATCAGACAAATAACATGAACACTTACTTAGTGACAGAGCTGAAAAGTCATCCCAAGGGGCCCTCACCATTTTGGCTCAGTGGACAGAGTGTAGGCCTGCGGATTGAAGGGTCCCAGGTTTGATTCCGGCCAGGGCCTGGGTTGCGGTCTTGATCCCCAGTGGGGGGGCCTGCGGGAGGCAGCCAATCAATGTTTCTCTCTCATCAGTGATGTTTCTGTCTTTCTCTACCTCTCCCTTCCTTTCTGAAATCAATACAGATTTTTTTTTTAAAGTCATTCAAAGGGGATGCTATAAAATCATAAAACAGGTGTGGGCAGGAAAGCACTTTCTCTTGTGCATCCTCACCCCCATCATCCCACTCAGCCGCAGGGCCTAGCAGTATCCTTTTATTTATTAGGAGTTACCACCAGTCTACCCACGTGCCCTTCACAGTTGATGACCCGCAGCTCTCCTTGAGGTCATTGTCCTGTCTTAGCTGCTCTGGGCCACCCTGTGCAGAAGCGGGTTTCTCAGTTCTGTCCCAGGGAAGGCAGGTAGTGGGGAAGGGTGTACAAGGTTGGCCCTCTTGCTGTGTCCCTGCAGCTTGTCCCAGAACAACATCACGGATGTGGGCGCCTGCAAGCTCGCCAAAGCCCTGCCCTCACTGGCTGCATCCCTTCTCAGGCTGAGGTGAGTGGGGCCCTGCTGAGCTGGTGGGCCAGGGGCGGGCAGAGAGCCCCCTTTGTACCAGCTGCTAAGTCCCACACTGGGACCCTGGAGGCAGTCACTGCAGGCTGTTCTGCTGTGTCAAAGTTGCACAACTTGCAGGGGCGGGGCGGGGGGGGGGGAGGGGGTGGTGGTGGTGGTGGTACCCATCTAAAATCCAATATGAACACAAACCCCAGTTGGGCAATGCCTCTGTTTCTTCATCTGGAAAATGGGTACCATCCCAATGCCCTATGGAAAGCCCTTGGTGCAGTGCTGGGCCCTGGGGCACAATAAATATTCTCTTCTCCCAGGGGATGGAGGACTGAGCTTTCTCTAGAGCCTTTTTATTTTATTTTATTTCAGAGAGAGGAAGGGAGATGGAGAGAGAGATACAAACATCAATGATGAGAGAGAATCATTGATCAGCTGCCTCCTGCATGACTCCCACTGGGGATCAAGCCTGAAACCCAGGCACGTGACCTGATCAGGAATCGAACCGTGACCTCCTGGTTCATGGGTCCACACTCAACCACTGAGCCACAGGGGCAAGAGGGGTGTTGATTTCTAGAAGGCTAACCACCCTCAGCCTTGGCTGCCTCTTCTCACTCATACACCAGCCAGTGCCTATACTGCCACCTTCTGGTGGCCCTTGGCATAGCACCTCTTGCTTTTGATTTCTTCCAGCCTGAACCCTGGTGAGGGACTGAGAGCTTGGACCAGAGCCCCAGTCATTGCCAGCTGTCCTCCCGCACTAGGCTGGGAGGAATTCCCTCTCCTTCCCCAGCCCTCAGACCATGCCAAGGACAGCCAGAGTCAAATTTCCAGGGGAGTTGGCATCTGGTTCGTCAAGTTACCGAAGTATCCATTCTTTATCCTTCCATTCAGGACCACTGGGTACAGCTGTATAGGTTCTGTACTGTGCAATTCCTAGTCTATGTGATTGGCACCCTATAGAGTTGTGCAGGGCATCTAATATTCTCTCACATCAACCATGGGCCAGCCTGTGCTAGGAGCTAGAGATACAACTATGAGCAAAACAGGTGTGGTTCTTGCTTTCAAGTTTCTTTCATAAGCAAGTAAGCATATGCATAAGTAAAATATTTTTAAATAAAATAGTGATTCATGCTGGGAAGGAGACTAACAGAGGCCCAGGAGTTACAACAGGGAATATTGAGTTCACCAGCGAGGTCAGGAAGCCTCTGAGGAGGTGACCATCCCCCGTCCATGGGCCACTTTAGGAGAAAAGCATTCCAAAAAGAGGGAACGGCAGATCCAAAGGCCCGAGGTAGGAAAGAGGTTGGGTCTTTGAGCGCCAGGAGGTCCCCTGTGGTTGGACATAGTGAATGAGGGACAGAGGCTGGGTGATAAGGTGGGAGAGGCAAGTGGAGGCCAGATCATGCATAGAAGCCCTCGTAGGTGAGGAGGAGGTTTGGAGTTTTTCGATGGTGAAGGAAGAAGCAGGTGGGGCTTATGGAGGTGACACCTGATCCGACTGATACTTAAAGAAACCTCATGTCATGGAATCTAAGATGCTATTTGTTGTAAGACATCTTTCAGAGGACAAAACACTGCAGATTATGACACCCCACTGATTGTTAGATCCTGATCTCAGTAATATTCAAATCTATGAACATGTGCTTCTTGGCATGAATGAAATATGGGCCTCCTGGGTTCTAAGCACTGCCCCAGACACAGATTGTAAAGCCCCTTGCCTGGTGCCTGTCCTGGCAGCAGCCAACTCATGACATCAGGGGATGCTGGAGTTTAGCCTGAACCACTTCGCTGCAGTGTAGACCTGCCGCTTTTACAGGCAGCCCCGAGGCTGTCGTGGCAAAGTCATGGCCTTGAGATTAGAACCACGGCAGTAGCTGGCTTGTTAAAAGGATGCTTAGTAATGAGTGTACAGCTTAAGTCAGCCTCAGTGACATCCGTCGTGCTATTTTCAACACTGCAGATGGTGACCGTGACTACACCACAGAAACCTGAGCCAGCCCAGTGACTGGGCTTGTCTCGCCCCTTTATCCTCAGTGCCGGTCATACCTTCTACAGTAACTCATTTCACCCTCACAATCCATCCTGGGAGGTGAAATAACCGCAGCTAACATTGAGCTCATTCCACATGCTGGGCCTGCTCTATGTTTTACCAGCATTAACTCATTTACTCCTCCTCACAATGACTCCATCGTGCCCATTTTATGGAGGAGCAAACTGAGCCACAGAGGAGTTAAGTAATTTGCCCAAGGTCACATAGGCCGCCGATGGCAGAACTGGGATTTGAACTGAAGTCTCAGCATGGAAGCTACCGCTTCTCAGTCCTGCTGCTTCCCTGGACTCACTGTATGACCATGGAGAAGTGGCCTCATCTCTCTGGGCCTCAGTTTGCCCCCTGTAAAGTGGGGCAGTAATCCCAGCGGGGTGCGGATCCCCCTGGGCCCTGACCCCCTGCACCCAGCCCGTGCCTGTCTTCTGTTTCTGGCAGCTTGTACAATAACTGCATCTGTGACGTGGGAGCCAAGAGCCTGGCACACGTGCTTCCGGACATGGCATCCCTGCGGGTGCTGGAGTGAGTATGGGAACCTGAGCAGTGGGTGGTAGCGCGAGGGCCTGCGGAGACGGGGGTTCTCTCCGGCATCACCGGCAGGAATGGGCTGTGGTCTGGTTGTCGAGCATGTGGTGGTGGCCTTGGGCTGGGGCTGGATGGTCCCGAGGGCCAGGCCCCAGGATGGGTTTCTCTCCCCACAGTGTCCAGTACAACAAGTTCACAGCCGCCGGGGCCCAGCAGCTAGCAGCCAGCCTGAGAAAGTGCCCTGATGTGGAGACACTGGCGTAAGTCTCAGTGGCCCAGCTGGGTGGTTCCGTGAGTCCTGAGCTCAAATCCTGCTCTGCCTGTCACCAACGTGTGGCCTTGGGCAAGCAGGACACGTCACCCCTCTGGCCTCAGCGTCTTCATCTGTAAAAGGGCAGTGGTAATAATATTTGCCCCCAAGCAGTTTTGTGAGGTTTAAATTAGAAAAGACTTAAAAAGCAGTTAGCACAGTACTTGGTAAATTAAAATGCTTAATATGTTGGGTCGAACAATACGAAATTGCCTGTATAAACCATGTTGACCTACAAAAACGGCAATTTCATATGGCTCAAACTTTTTATTATAGCACCATGATGTCTAATGTCCAATACTGGTACTTTATACACTTTCAGAGCACGTTCATGTACATAAACACTTACATCTTCTAAGAGGGATAAGGTGGATCATACAGACCCATTTTACAGCGGAGAAGAATAAGGCACAGAGTTTAGCCAATGTTTTTGAGGTCATACAGCCAGTCAGCATCAGAACCAAAGGGGTTTTGGGATTCCTAGGCCTCTGCTGTCCTCATACCCCCACACTGGTCTGGTTTTGCCAGCTGGGAAGTCCCCAAGGTTCCCCGGCTGATGAGAGGAGAGATTTGGGAGCGGCTATGTGGGGGGCTCAGGTCACGCTCGCTCCCCTAACCTGGCCTCTGTGTCCCATGCCCCGCTGCAGGCTGTGGACACCCACCATCCCTTTCGGTGTCCTGGAACACCTGCAGCAGCTGGACTCCCGGATCAGCCTGGGATGACCCCGCTGGGCCTGGGACAAGGTAACTGGGGAGGTTGTGAGGGGAGCACCCCAGGGCCCCTGGGGTCAGCATCCTGGGAAGGCAGAATCCACAAAAAGTGGACAGGACAGCAGGTGGGGTGTGGGTGACCACCCCTGGACCATACACCACCTAGGGCAGTGATGGTGAACCTATGACACGCGTGTCAGAGGTGACACGCGAACTCACTTTTTTGGTTGATTTTTCTTTGTTCAATGGCATTTAAATATATAAAATAAATATCAAAAAATATGTCTTTGTTTTACTCTGGTTGCAAATATCAAAACATTTCTATATGTGACACGGCACCAGAGTTAAGTTAGGGTTTTTCAAAATGCTGACACGCCGAGCTCAAAAGGTTCGCCATCACTGCCATAGGGCCTCCCTGTCTCTTCGCTGGGCTCGGCGGCGGTGTCCTAAAGGCTTTGCAGCTTGAGCCCGGAGAACCCTCCCTGAGGGCCCTCCCTGTGGTCAGGCTTAGAGACTGGGGCCGCCCGCATCCCACAGCGTTAGCATTGGGAAGATGTTCCTTCGGGGACTCCCAAACCCTGTGTGCTGCTGTGTCAGCCTGTTGGTGGCCCCATGTCTCCGATCGTCCTGATCGGAACTTGCTCTGTGCGTTCCCTGCCTCTCACTGGCAGATGACTGTCCTCCCACCTCCCTGCTCCTCCAACCTGTGCGGTCCCCCTCCAAACCCTCTGTCTCGTCCTCCCTTCCCACCATCCCTTCTGTCGCCAGTCTCGACAACACTCTCTCCATGTGTCCTAAAGCTTCCTGACCTACCCCTTCTCCAGACCCCCCACCGACCCTTCTCCGAGGACACGGACCACGCTGGACCTTGAACTGGTTATCTGTGGACACGGCTCTTCTCAGGTCATATCCTACGAGCCTCAGGGTCCCGGCACCCAGCCCTGCCGGCTACGGAAAGGACCCATGGCCTGCTACCCGGACAGACCCAGGCCCGGCTTCAGGCTCCTTCGGGGCCCAGGTTGATGCCAGCCCTACGCAGCCGCTGCAGCCCTGGCAAACAGGTGGGTGCCTGGTGGCAGCTGCCGCCCACCCAGGAGCCCTGGCGCATTTTCTATGGGACACTCCAGAAGTCGCGGCCAGGCTGGGGAGAAAGCACTTCTCCAGGCTGCTGTCCTAACAGGGCACGCTCGGCGCTTTGAGGGTCCCAGAGGGGAACCAGATCCAAGCTGCAACTGACTCTGAGGCAGGTGCTCTCTGTCTGTGGGACTCACTGTTTGCACTAAACTTGTTGGCCGAGGCCCAAGCCAGGACAGGCCAGGCCAGACGCACTGGACCTTAGCTGGAAGCAACTGATGGTACACTAATGGAGGGGCGGGCAGGGGGCGACTGGAGCCATGCCTGCCTTTTGCCTTCGTTTGTGCCTCTTCACTACATTATAAATGACTCATTCAACCCCACAGGCAGGTCCAGTGTTTGAGTTGATAGCGTGATTACCCTGTTGGTGTGCCCACTGATCTACTGCATCACAAACCACCCCGAAATGTAGTGGCTTCAAACAACACACACTCTTATTCTGCTCGCACACCTGTCGTTGGGCAGGGCTCGTCTCTGCCCCACTCCGTGTCTGCTGGGGTCATCGGAAGGCTCGCTCACTCGATGCTGGCTGGTGGCTGGGGACCTTGGTTCCTCTAAGGAAGGGTCGGCGGGGGGCCTCTCCATGGGGCTAGTTTGGGTCTCCTCATAGCGTGGTGGCTGGGTTGTAGGGGGGTCACCCGAAAAGGAAGAGGGTGGGGGAGAGAGGGAAAGAGAGGAGAGAGAACAGAGAGAAGTTGTATCCTTCTCATAACCCAGCCTTAGAAGTCACACCGCACCTCTTCTGTCACATACTTTGGGCTGTCACTCTCTCCCCCTCCCACATTGCACGTGCATGCGCGCGCACACACACACACACACACACACACACACACACACACACACGCCCAAGTCTGCCTTGGCCCAAGTCCTGTCCTTTCAGAAAGGATTTTCTATGTGGCGTCCTAAGATTCAGTGGGACATTCATTATTAGGGGAGCAGCAAGGTCTACGCACTGTGAGCCTCGCAGAGGGAGTGCTTCCCTCTGCCTTTGACCCCCTGCATCCTGGGAGCCGTTCCCAGCCCAGCTGGATTCTGCCTCGGCCAGGGCAAGCTTGGAAGGGCCTTGGCAGCTTTGCTTTCTACCCAGAGAGCTGCCAGCTCGCCTGTCGTCATTGTCACTGGGGCATGGCCTGCTCGGTCAGAAGCCTGGTTTGGGGTGACTTGGCTTTGGCAGCCGTGGGAGCTGTCTGTTCAGCTCTAGTGCACAGCCCTGACACCTGGGCCCAAACTCGTCTCTTCCCTTCAACTGGGAGTCGGGGTGGGAGCGGGGGGAAGGGGTTAAGACCCAGCTGCCTGGTTGTCAGTCCTTGCAGAGAGACCGTGCCTTCTGCCTTGGCGAAGCTGCAGAGGGCATCAGGTGTCCTGACCCAGGTTTGGGCTTTAAATAGCTCGGGCACTGCCCCTCGGGTTTCCCTGCATTTATGGACTTTGTGGAGTCCACAAGACACTCCCATTTATGCTCACAGGGGTGAGTGCCAAGCCAATACCCCTCCATTTGAGGCGTCTACCGCACCTTTGGCCAGACAGAGAGAGCACTGCTGTACTCCCTGCTTTGGGTCTGCTCAGAGGCTGTATTATGCATAGCAATGATTTTAAATGACAGCTACCCTTTAGTAAACGAGTTGATACACGCAAAGCACTCGCCACAGTGCGAGGGACATAATACGTGCTCAATAAATGTTAGAATTGATTCTCATTTTGTGTCAGGCACCTTCCTCATCAGGAGGTGCTGGTGCTTCTAGGGTTCAGAAAGCCCCAGTTCGGGACGCCATTTATGCTGGTGCTCACGCTCCAGCATCAAGAAGGGCTCAGGAATCTGGAGAAGGGGCTGCGTGTAGATGACATAGAAATCCAGAGACTAATAAAGAGTCCGGAGACGAGATATCATTTTGAAAGGCATTGGGGGTCAGAGGACCTTCAGCTAAAGGAACTGAAGACTACCTCCTTGCCTAGGACCCTTGCTTTTATCAACACAATTTGTCCTAAGGCAAGGTGAAGATAATACACTTCAAAGGGTACAGAGTCCATTGTCAGTTTGGGGGAATTAGCCTCCAGCTGTTCAGGTGTTTGGCCAGTAGGAGGCAATAACATGTAGATTAAGATGCCCTTTAACTGCCTGGCAGCCACAATCAGTTTCCTATTCAGGTTTGGGGAAATGCCTTTAGCCATTCCCAACAGGTGACTACATGTGTGACTCAACCCTGTTGAGTCCCCAAGTCTCATCAACCTTTTGATAAAACTCTTAAAATTATGACATGCTGGAATTGGTTCCCGGCAAGGAGGGACCGTAGCCTGGGGTCAGCAGCACAGACTCTAGAGGTAGATTACATGGACTCAATGCCCAGCTCCCCACCTGTACAAATGACTTCTGTGCCTCAGTCTCCCCACGTGTAAAATTCTCACCGTACTGTCTTCCTTACGGGGTCATGGGAGAGTCAGTGAGCTAGCACACTGAGAGCGAGAGGTTGGCATGCAGCTCGATCCATGTCAGTTCTTGTTACATATGAATGTGTTTCACTCCAGCCTCTGCCTGGAATGTGATTTCTAGTCCCTCACATGGCCGGCTTCTTCTCATCCTCAGGACTAGGTTTAAAGGACAGCCCCCTAGGAAGGTGTGCCAGATCACTCCATTAAACAGCACACACACACGCCACCCTACCCACTCCCCCCAACCTCATCACGTTTATCTTTTCCACACTTATTTGTTGTGCTGTCTGCTCTTATCCTAGGATGTGAGCTCCAGGAGGGCAGGCAATTTGTCTGCTTTGTTCATTGCTGTGCCCTCTGCTCCCAGCAAAGTGCCAGCACATAGTAAGTGCTCAATAAACGTTCATGGAATGAACAAATAAGCCTCGCCATAACTTTGCTTTATTCGTTCCACAAATAGGTACCGAGTACACAGTGGTGAATAAGATGCTCTGGTAAGTCTTGCATTTTAGTAAAATTTTAAAAACCTCTGGGCAGGCTGCCAGGTATGGTTGGGCAGTCTGTGCACTGCACAAAGGCACTGGACATGGGGATAAATAGAGGTTGTAACCCAATCTGCTTGCCAAGCGGTGAGTCCTGGTGTGGAGCTCTCTCAGCCCAGAGGGGCACCTTTGTTAATGCAAAAACCATCTTGGGAAGTGGGCCTTTCACAGAAGATATACTTGCCTAAGGTCACACCCCTACAAAGGAGGCAGTCAAGATGCAAGGCTGCCTTTTGACTTCTTTGGAAGGTCTCCCGGTGGCCACAGGCACAGTATACTGGAGTTGCTCCCTGAGCCCCACCTGTCAGAAGGGGAAGTGATGCTCACAGGAATCTGGGCACATGCTGTCTGGAATCACACTATGTTTGTTGATGGCACAATCTCATGTTTAGTGGATTTCAAGTGCATGCATCTTTTTTAAAAAGTATTTTTATTGGTTTCAGAGAGGAAGGAAGAGGGAGAGATAGAAACATGAATGAGAATCATTGGTTAGTTGCCTCCTACATGCCCCCTGCTGGAGATATCAAGTTGGCAACCTGGGCATGTGCCCTGACCGGGAATCGAACTGTGATGCTCAGCCATTGAGCCACAATGGTCAGGCCTCAAGTGCTTGCATCTTTTAAACCAGTGGTTCTCAACCTTGGCTGCACATTAGAATCACCTGGGAATCTTTTTAAAATCCTGATTTCTGGGCCTCATCCTCCAGAAATTCTGTTTCTTTGTTATGGGGTGGGGCCACAACATTAGCTACAAAGAAACAATTTCTGGAGGATGAGGCCCAGAAATCAGGATTTTAAAAGGATTCCCAGGTGATTCTAATGTGCAGCCAAGGTTGAGAACCACTGGTTTAAACCCTCATTTCCCCTGCAGGCCTCTCCACATGTCTCCTGTCTCACGCTCACCTTGGGCCTCCCCAACATCTTCTGTGCACGTTCCTTAGCACCCCCTTTCTTAGAGTCACATGAAGACAAGTGGCGATGCAACTGTCCTTTCTCTCGAGTCCTGCCGGACCTTTCGTCCCCACCTCAGTCTGCCCCCCTGTAAGATGGAGCTGATCATCTGTGGCTGCTTTAATGTGGGGGCACAGGGGAAGGTGCTTTGAAAAGCGGCAGGTGCTCTGCCAACTGGAGAGAATTATGCTATTTGTTTTCATGAAACTGGAGGCAAGTGGGCCCCATTTCACTCATTCGTTTCTCCCTCCCTCCCTTATCTTCACTGGATTCTACTGTGTGCCCAGCGAATACCACACCTCTGATTCGGGGGGATTTGGGCCCGATTTCCAGCGTGGCCACCAGGCCTGTGCCACCACACCCCAAAGGTCAGCCCTGGTATGCCAGGCTTGTGGAAGCAGGGAGGGGACTGGGCTGGGCCTCCCACGCCAGCCCAGTTTGGGCAGACTCCACGCCTGGCTGGGTCTCCTACCTGGGAAGCCCTGACGCTTTTGCCCTTTGTCAAATATGAGGTTTTCTGCTTATGAATTCCTTTCCCAAATCTCAAAGAAAAAAAAAAACAGGTCCACAGGGATTGAAGTTGCATACATTTTTTTAATTGAAAGAAGTCAGCCTCCTAAGTATTGCTTTTACAGGTTTATCAAAGTCCAGTATTCAAACCATTCGCATTTTCTAAAAATAATTCTGGCCGGAGGAGCAACATGGCCTCCCCAGGCGCTGTGGATCAGTCTTGGCAACTTGATGAAGAAGCAACTTGAAATGAATAAGTCGAAGCCTGGACACCTTCCCCGCCTCTTCTCCTTCGGAGTCATTCCCTGAAACAGTCGCTGCCTCTAAGATCAGCCTGGGCCAAACCCAGTCGGGCTGAGGGCTCCACAGGCAGCAGCCGGAGTTGCCTGTCGTTTCTGTGTGTGTGTCCGCGGTGTGAAGTGTCCTCTTGAAAGTTAAGTGTGGGGAGCAGGTGTAGTCGGGGAGAAAGAGCAGGGAGGCATACTCTGGCTGGGTTCCTGTAAACATCCATCGCGGTGCGGAAGGCCAGAAGCCAAGGCAAGGCCATCTGTGCAATGCTGCAGGCGGGAGAGGTCTTCGGACAGGCCCGCCTTCTCCCTTTGGGGAGGGGGACAAATGCCTTCCCGGCCTCAGCACCCAGTCTCAATCTCTCCATCCCCCTGTCCTGGGCCTGGACGGGAGCCTCTCTGTTGGCACAGAACTTTTGAAGGGAGCAGGCCTAACAAGAGAGAGAAAAAGGGTGTTACCAACATGGAAGCACCAACTGCCACCTGTTCTGGATGGGGCTCTGGACCCTCCACCAGGCCTCAGGAGGCTCCTGGCGGGCCAGGGAAGTCTTCCTTCTCTTCCTCGCTCTCAAAGAACCGCCAGAAGCCCCAGATTCAGGCTGGGAGT